TTATAATGGTTTTTAGCCTTTAGTATGTACACGTTGTTACCTACGTATGCGTGGATTGTCTAAGACACACGAATCACCTTCCGCGCTGTGTGTTTGGAAAATCAGATGTCCGAGTTTTCCACGTGTCCTTAAACGCACCGTGCATTCGTGGATTGTGGACTTTTGAGAGTGCGGAAAAACACTCAAAAATCCGTGTGTGCGCGGAAGGTGATTCGTGTGTTAGACGATCCACGCATGCGTAGGTAACAATGTGTACATACTTTCTAAAGAACTGCACACAAAAAAATCGATTTTAAGCATTTGTAAAATGTGTTTTATGTGCAGTTTGTACAGCATGCATTTGTGAACAGCATGACACACACACACACAAATTGCTTGTTACAGACAAAACGTTAAACACGCATTTGTAACATTTTTGATAGTATTTTATCTCCATACCAAACAATCCATGAACCAGTGACACGATTGCACTTAATTTTCTTGATCACTAGATGCCCTACACTGTGTCATTGAGGCCTCAAGTAATTGACCATTTTTGTGAATACTGTGTGGAATCTTCAACAAAGCATCTATCACCCATCACTAATCAGGTCTTCTGAGATCTCTTCTTTGCCATTTTCCAGTTGACATTTAGTGACAGCAGAAGCCTGGGGCTGCCATTACTTTTTCCACCATTACTTTGTATGTTTATTGGGTGTGTTCAATAAAAACATGAAAGGTCATGACTGTTTGTGTTTTATCAGCTTAGAAATATTATGTTTGTTGATCAGATCACACTTCATGACCAATTTATGCAGCAAGGCGGACTTTTCCATTAGGGAATGGTAGGCAGTTGCCTGGGATACTCAACTAAAAGGGGCCCCAGATGTCAGAAATGTACTATGATATTTAAACTATAGTTGTCAAATTATTTTCTTATTCAGAGACGCATATAACTTTTTCTTTAATAACTTACGGTGCAGTCAAAGCACATCCCCCCCCCCCATTACAGCCACATGGACTATTCCATTTCTGGACGTGACACTGCGACTGCGCACCAAATGTAAACACGGTATTCAAGTTGTAACTATATCGCCCAGTAGGAATCTGAGCAGCGGAACGGAAAGTGAATCATCCCAGTGAGAATTCTCGGAAAATGGAAAAACACCAATACAGCTGAAGAAAACTGCATCTGGGGAGCCAGAAGGAGAGGTAGCAACGTACTGGTCTGGTTAGCAGTTCTCCTCAGGCAAACAATCAACAAGGTAAAAAAACAAACTGTCTGCTGCTTACACCTAGTGATGGTAGAAACGAGGCTTTCTGAAGCTTTGAACCATTTGCTGCAGGAAATGGTTTGTTGTGGTTTGTTTGAAGCAAATACAATAGAAAGATTCGAGTAGCGTAAGAACAGATAGGCCTGGTGGTCAGTGTACAGTATTTGTTAAGTCGGGGAAATCAGATCTGGAGTGTGTGGCTGTGGAGGTTTGGACGTCTCAGGGTCCCGTAATGTTAATAAATGTTTATAATCCTTGTAGGCCTTTTGGTATTGTAAGACTTTGATGGGATTATGGAGAAGGTAAGATATCCTAAAATATGGATGGGCGATATTAACGCATATAAATCTTTAGGGAAGTGATGCTAAGGATAAAAATGGGATCATAGTAGAGGAATTTCTGGATAAGTATGGTTTGGTTGTGATCACTGACCAAAGACCTACAAGATATAATGTGTTAAATACCTGTAGTCATATAGATTTATCAATAGTCTTGTCAAATTTAGCTAGAGTTGGAGAATGGGATGTGATGTGTGTGTGTGTGTGTGTATGTATATATATATATATATATGTATGTATGTATGTATGTGTATATATATATATGTATGTATGTATGTATGTATGTATATGTACACACACGGGGTAGTGACCACTATCCTATGTTATATAGGTTTGGATGAGAATTGAGAATAGAAGCACAGGTCAGACCAAGACAATATAATAATCCTCAAGCGAGATGGAAGGAATTCCAAAAGAAAGTTCTGGATTTATTAGGAGACGTTAATAGTGAAGGTCTTGTAGATGAATAAAGCAGCTCAGACAACAGCTCCTTGGAAGGAAAATCCTAGACCACGTGCATTGGTTGTCTGGTGCAACAAAGAATGTGATGTAACTGTGAAGAACAGAAATAAGGCATATAGGAAGTTGAGAAGGTGTCCAGTGATGTGTTATGCAGTGCAGGATAAGAGCCATGGCAGGGAGAGTCATTAATAATGCTAAGAGTCTGGGCCCAGATGCTTCTATTAAACAGTTGTGGTCAGCTATTCATAGAATGTCAGGGATATATAAAAAGAATATTTTAGCAGTTTTGATAGATGTTCAGGAAGAAGCAGTGAGTAATTTGGAAAAAGCTTATATGCTAGTAGAATATTTTAGGAGAGTGCATAGTACTGTGGATTGGGAAACAACAGGCTTAAAAAGAGGAATGATTTTATGTTACAGGAGTGCTGGAAGTTAGACTGGAATTTTAGCATAAGCATAAACTTTATTGCCAAGTATTTCAAGAACACACGGAATTTGAATCCAGCTCAATGGCCCCCAATGTGCAAAACATAAAAACAAAATAAATACACAATATATACAAGTTAAAAGAGCAACATGAACTAGCTGTTCATCAGAGTGACGGCCTGGGGAAAGAAACTGTCCCTGTGCCTGGATGTCTTAGTGCACAGTGACCTGTAGCGGCTTCCAGAGGGGAGGAGTTCAAAGAGTTTGTATCCAGGGTGAGAGGGGGCTGCAGAAATCCTCTCTGCCCTCCTTTTGACCTGTAACGTGTACAGGTCCTCCATGGAGGGCAGGCACCTGTCAGTGTGTGGGCTATATTAGGCAGCAAGTGAACATTCAGTCCTCAAAGTTGATGTGTTGGAAGCAGGAAAAATGGGCAAGTGAACTGGAGACAGGGTCATGGACGCCCACGGCTCACTGATGATGAGGTTGACCTACTGTAGATTAAACTTTTAACTTCCATTTGTACTTTTCTAAAGATTTAAACTTATTTGAATCTTTGTTAAAATGGTTGAAAATGAGAAATACTGTACATTGGTCTCTATGAAGAGAAAGAGTCAGGGGCTGTAGTGGTGATATCACACCTAGAGTGGTGAGGCTGTTGGATTTGTCTAAACAATTCTCTCTAACTCGTCCTCACGACCAGTTTTCACTTCTTTTACATAAGTTTTTCACTGAATTGTAGACACATCTGTGCTCTTCCTGACAGTAGAACTGTGGAAGTAAATGGATTCATAGAAGATGCACAGTGAGCTGCAGAGTGACATGAGTGTCAACCAACTGCCACGTTGTCTCCTATGTAAACTGTACTAGGCAGGAGATCATAATGTTATGCTGATCAGTGTACATATTCATAATAAAAAGTACACAGATTTACATTTAGAGAAAGAGAGTACCTTATGAATCCCCAAATGTTAATTCCAGATTACTACAAAAACAGAGGAATTGTAACATGATACATGAGAGCTGCTGCAACAAGCTGCCTTAATGCAGTGTCATCATGAAGGTTTTCCTCCTGAAAATTTGATGCAATAGTTAAATATTAAAGTAAAGAACAATTTCATATTGTGGAAACAAGCTTCTTTGCATGTGTTGATGTATTTGTGGTGATGTTTAGGTGCAGCATGCTGGCTGCTGTGAGAGCCGCACAACATTCCCTCAGAAACCTCAGGGGTATTTCTGACTCTGCTCTTGCCTCAGGTAAAAACACAAGTGCACACATATACTGTTCCTCACTGTATGTGTATGCGTGTTTATGATCAGGAATAGTTTCTCTTGTGTAGTGGCTAGTTCCCACTGTGATATTTTCAAACATTCACAAAAGGTTATCTATTATATGTCAAGTGTAGAAATTTGGTTTGTCAACAGAAAGGCAGTGAGAACAGATGCACTCATGCTCCATCTTTTTCTGCATAACAGAGTTGCCAGTAACCTTCTGTAACTTCTATACTGCATATTCTGAGGTTCTTGGTTTCTCCAGTGTAGCACAACATCTCTGAATGGTAGTTTCCCATAAACTAAAGTTCGCATTAGCATCAGGAGTTCTTAGCTCTCACTGGAATGCATGCCAGCCAGTCGCAGTCCAAGGTTAACTGTGCTGTAATGGAAGAATAAGGTGCTGAAACCCCATTATAAGACACCGTGGAGCTTTTGGGCTGCTTCTGATCCACTTAGCAATTCATACAATTGAGTTAATGTTTTACCAAAAACCAGCACTTACAGTTAAAAATCAGTTTTCAGATGTGACATTTGAACACTTACTGTAGGTGAACAGTATTCTGCTATAGGAGGTGCTGGATCTATCTACATCTATCTACCATATTTGCAGTAGAATGTCAGTCCAGCAGTTTAGGTGACAGAGCAGTACAGCATCTGAGCCACAGAGCAGCAGCAGAGTGCTGATCTGTTCTGTCACCTCTCCCCTACTCTCTCTGTCTCTGCACCACAGATATGGTCTCTGCTTCCTCATATGTTTTTTATGTTGGTGTAATTTATCAAAGGTACAGTATACGATTTAGATTTTCATTTCATCTCTACTGTATATACAGTACCTTACATGGAGGTATACAGTAATGTGATGTACTATGCAAAGCATAAAGCCATACATAGACATGGCATGCAGTGCAAAGACAATGGAGGATTTGTAAACTGTATGTTTAACTCAGATGAGCCCAAATCACTACAGGGCAGCTTCACCAAAGTCAGCCAAACAGGACAACTAATAAACAGTAAGCTTGACTGCATGTTGTTTATGTGTCACGTACACCAGATCCAGTCAGCAGTGCTGTGTGTCTTCCATTCAGGGTGTACTGTGTTTGAGGCAGTGAGACATAGAAAACCCCAAATGATTTATAGCCAACAGGTTTACAGGTTAGTTAGTGTTACACAATCCTTAGCAACCTGAGCCACTCAAAGCTGAACTACACCTTGTAGTTCAACAACTTGTCTTCACTCACATGTTTCACTAGGCTTAATGTTTAAGAGTAGAGCAGAGTCGCTACCGCCACCTGTTTCTATTGGTGCGTCTGGAAAAACCCACCTGGCTGTCATTGTGCATTACACTGACCCAGCCACTTAGGTATATGGCTCTGCGTTGGCCAGAACTTGGGAGTCCTAGCAATC